TATATCCTGGGTCACTAGGTCTCCCGCTTCCTTCCGGAGGGGGCTCACCTTTTCCCTAGTCCTCCTTTTATCACTGACATACCTATATAAGTTCTTCCTGTTACCCTTAACGTCCTTGGCCATATTTAATTCTATCAGGGCTTTAGCTTTCCTAACCTGACCTCTGGCTTCATGGACAGTGTCTCTGTATTGTCCCCAGGCTACCTGTCCCTGTTTCCACCCTCTTTAGGCTTCCTTTTTGTGTTTGAGTTTGCTCAGAAGTTCCTTGTTCATCCATGCAGGCCTCCTGGCATTTTTGCCTGCCTTCCTCTTTGTTGGGATGCATCGCCTCTGAGCCTGGAGGAAGTGATCCTTGAATATTAGCATCCTGTATGTATGCAACATTTATGCTCAGGTAACAAGATAATCTTCAAGTTAGCTACCTGCTCCAGATAAGGTAATGCCAGATAGCAAATCTTTTATAGGCTTAGCATAGAAGGTGTTTTCTGGTTGCACAATCCTACACAATCATGCATTATTGCTATATAATTGAGACACCATGAGAGAACTGGCAATCTCCTGATCCATAAGAATTTAAGGAATAGCTCCACAGGTGTTCTTACCTTAGATCTAAATGACAAAGAGAAGGACATCTTTCCACCAGTGTTTTAACATCTGAAAAGAGGTCACACAGTCAGTCCATATTTCAGTGACAAGATGAATATGCTCTATACAGCCTACTCACTTCCATATATGTTCACTTATATCTTCTCTACTAGAATCCCACAACTGAAGCAACTTTTTGTTAAAAAGATACACACTCAAGACTCACAGCATATAGTCTGCCTATCAAGATACCTTACAGGAACTTCTTTTAATCCTCAGCAAAACAGATACATTTAGTCTAAAGAAGTGTCCCTAAAAGTCAACTGTGCCAGCAGCTTAGCAAGTCAAAAATTCAAATGATATTGCTGTAGAAATCTTCTGAGACACAGTTATGGTGAGATACCTGAAATTTTTATGTGTAGTGAAAAAATACCCAAAATTTTCCACACATCAAATACTCTTCCAGAGCGTCAAGTTCTCTAGGCATCTCCATTTTTACCCACAGAAAGTTCTTTCCTCATGACAAACAGTTATGGTTTTCCTGATTTAAACTGTAAATTCTTGAGACCATCTTTTCATTGTCTGCAAATAGCATAGAATCACTTGTGGCTCAGATATCACCTAAAAGGTCACTGTTATTAGCTAGGTGCTAATCAACATGCAAAAGAATTTTGGTATTTCAGAATTCACATGCAAAAACTAAACAAAACTACTAAATTATGATGTTTATTTGAAATTATTCAAATCTTTTGCCTTATAAATTCCACTGAGAGTAAAATTACTCATAGTAACTGTTTTACAAATGGAAGTGCTCTGCACATTTTCTCTAATGATCACATCAACAGAAGGTTCAAATTCCTGATTCGGAGGAGATTACACAGCTTGTCTGTTTATGGGTTTTGGGCTGAGATAAAAAGTAGACTGGTGTATTCCCTCCAAAAGGGAATCCATACCAAGGTCTGTGACATTTAAACAGAAATAAGAGGGTCACAGCCTGTGTGTCACCTATCTGCTTGTCAGCCAATGCCCTAGCATCACATTTGCTCATTGAGAAAATGAATTTCTCTTTACCACCAAAGCCATTTCACCCTTTATCTATGCTCTTGTCCATTTTGTTGTGCCCTCTCCTGAGATCCAGATTTATCTCCATTTTCTATTACCTTGCAACTTTACCTGACTTTCCCTTCTAGAAGTATTAGCAAGTAAATAGTTCATGTTGATTACTGAGATTATTTGCCTTCCAGATTAACTGGTATCTGTAGGACATCAGTCAGGCTGAAACTCAAGTAGTTCCTATGACTGTTCTCTTTTGGGAGATACCTTCAGCAGCTACAATAGCAGAAGTCTTAAGAAGGCTCCAATAACAGTATCTGGAAGGCTAACTCACAGTTCAGAGTGGAATATGGCATCCAGTGTATCCTGCTTCCAGGACTTACTTCTGAAGTAAGGGCTGTACCTTTCAACTGAAGATGAAATGAGCTTTCACGTGACTATTTTTAAATTCAGGAGACAGATCATATCACCCCTCATGGCTGAGCCAGAGACATGAGTAAGATTCTCTGACAGCAAAAACATCCAGCTATACAGAGCACAAAATCAGTGTTAGTGCATGATTTTTCTGTACACACAGCAGGTGCCAACCAGAAAAAAAACCAAAGCCTGCTGCTTTATCCCATGGTGGGATAAAGGTTTGCCATGCTGCTATTTACCTGATATCCGTAGATTCTGTCTATATCCACTTAAATTTAATTGGGTTACTTTTGAAGTAACATGTCTGACTGCTGCTTTGACATGGGTTCCTGTGAAGTCACACCAGGATAAGTTCAGCTCCTCCAACCTACACACAAATGAACAGAGAGTTGCTTGGAAGAATGACTGAAATACAGTTTGAGTTCTGGTATTATTTATTACAGTAGATATTTTTAAGACAAAAACTTTTAACACACCTGCTACCAACTTCCTATATTCATAACTACAAATTTCACTGTGACAATAATTAAGCACTGAAGCAGGTTGCCCAGCCAGAATCTGTCTTTGGACGTTTTCAAGATTCAACCAGAGAAAGTCCTCATCAACCTGGCCTGTGCTGAATTTGGACCCCGCTGTGGGCAAGGTGTTAAAGTAACTTGCCAAGGCCACTTCCAACTGGAATGATTCAGTGATATTTTAGGAAGTGGAATGGCTGTCTCCAGGGACTGCCAGAAGGAGACACTGTCTTTTCATCTTGCTTCTGGTTTGTGACCTGAATCTGTTACTACTGAGCAGATGTTCACATTGAGAGGAAAAAGGATATCTATTATTAGCACTGGTCACATGACCAATTAATCCTAATCAGCATAAAATACTTCATAGTTTAATATAAGCATTGGCCATGCTGTGACCTTAGCTCTCTTTACTTGCTTGATTACCTATAGCCTATCACCATTCGAGGCTGGGACAAAGTATTTGTTTTGTGTGCAGGCATTGTAGTTCTAACTACAGGACAAAGACACAGTGAAAGCACAACTAGAGCATCTCTATGTAAATGAAAAAAAAAGTCACCACTAGCATTCCTAGGATCAGATTTGCCATCTGCTATTCACTGTGCACAGTCCAGACTGCTGTTCGCTAAAGAGCTCATGATCCAAGTAATCAGACCAAGCAATAGGAATGCATTATCTACCCATGAGAGGCAGAAAAAGATTAAGGCTTTTTCTGTCCACTGACTTGCAGTTTGATTAAAAACATGCCTTTGCAGAAGCAAAGATTAAGTAGACTGTCCCAGATATCACAGGAAATCATCAGAAAGATCAGGGTATAAAACCTTGATGGGGCTCAGTTCAGTGACTTCCTGCCAGCAGATGGCTTAATCACTGGAGCTGTCAACCTGAACACTGTGCTTCATAAAGTAGAATAATCCTTCAGTAACCTCTATCATGGATAGAAAGGCCCAATATTTTCTGCCATTGATGCTATACTCTGATTGTGAAGGGAGCTCTGGGACTCCACTTTTCAGTTTCGAAACACTTTCAGTTTGTGAGGATCACATACCGATTTCATTAAGAAAATCAAATTCACATTATAATCAAAGGAACAAAAGTGAGGTTTACCCACCAACAAGAATTCCTTTAAGGATGATTAAGGAAACTCATGGAAAACTACTGAAGTACATCTCTGCTATTAAAGAAGAAAATAGCTTGATGGAAAGAAACTATCTGACTGTTCATCTAATAACTCTCAGGCATTTAGGAACACAAACAGGCTCATAAAAAAAGATACTACAGACAAGTAAAATTGGGATGCCTATGGAAAAAACCAAAGAGAATTGTTTTTCTCAGGAATAGCAGTAAGCAGGAATAGCAAAAACTATTTTCATCTTACATAGAACAGCTGTTCAACATCAGCTTCAAGGCACCTGCAGAAAACCCCGAGCACCCACAGAGATTTAGTCGTGTCAGACTGGGATTCTTAGCAATGCTCCTGTAGAGAAGAAAAAAGAAAAGTCTGATAAAACTTAAATGTTGGAAAATTGTTTGCATTGCTAGGATGTGTGATTATTTTTAAGAGCTAAGATCCTGGGCACACAATTATTTGTGAAACATGTAGCACTGCATCTTCAGTAAAATGGCCAACCTAACAGTCAGTAATGATCTCAACTCCGTACTTACTGCATAACAGCACATCTTCAAAAGGGATACTTGCCTATTTGCCTGACATGTCTGCATATTAATAAACTGCTAAGTTTAAAAGGAAACAATTGATTTTCACCTTCTCCTGTTGTATGCCATTAAACATACACCATGGCTTATCAGAAATGACTGTATTTCTACTAAAGAAAGCAATCACTCCATTTCTGAAGTCATCCCTCTACAAGATGGAGGTTATTCCAGAACAACACACGCCCAAATAGCATCCCCCCTGAATGCACTTGCTTGCAAGACTAGATCAGACCCTTACAACCAATATCTTCGTACACAAGGTAATAAACTTCCATCACCAGTAGCTAATTAGTATGCAATTTTCAGGTACTTTTTGTCTGGCATCAAAAGCCAAACCACATTGGTTTATTTGGGCTGCTCTCAATAAATTCTCCTCCCAGCCTGTGTTTGTGCTTGGGATTGCCATGATCCAGGTGCAGGACCTTGTACTTGGCCTTGTTGAACCTCATGAGGCTTGCACAGGCCCACCTGTCAAGCCTGTCAGGGTCCCTCTGGATGGCATCCCTTCCCTCCAGCATGTTGACTGCACCACACAGCTTGGTGTCGTTGGCAAACTTGCTGAGGGTGTACCAATCCCACTGTCCATGTCACCAAAGATCTTAAACAACACCAGTCCCAATATCAAACCCTTCAGAATGCCACTTGTCACCAGTCTCCACTTGGACATTGAGCCATTTGAGAACACCCAGAGCCTCTGCCATCTGATCTACACTTCCTGGGACCTCCACAATCACCTGATGTGATTTAGCCAGGAGGTTGACTGCACACCCATTAGTGTATTTCCATTTTAACCAAACAACAGTTCATCTTGAGAGAATCTGTAAATTTTCCCAGACACTCAAGAGTAAAGCTCAACAGAGAAGTGAGAAATAGTGCAAAAGCACAATGTCCATCTGCTGGGAGAGCTGCTGGGACCTCTTAAAATAGAAAAGAACCTGTATGCCAAATACAAAGTTCTCTTGGGAGTACAGAAATGGGAAAATTAGCTCTGTTGTACATCTTAGCTGCAGGAACAGCCAATAGACACATAAATCCTACAAAGATGAGCAGTTTCTCCAGGCTCCCCATACTCTGTGAAATGAAAAAAAAGCCACCAAGAAACACTCTTCCAGAGGGCTGTCTCCTTCTCGCCTCATCTCTTAAAGGATAGAAAGAAAGGCCGCTCATCTAGCCTGCCAGCCAATTCTGTTAGGTGCCTAAAACTGACCATTTCAAGACTCCCACAATGAATGACTCTCAGCTGCATTCCTTTGCTAGCCTGCCTGTGCAAAATGATAGCACCAGACAGAAGGTGTTTACTGAATATTCCCAAACATGTCACTCACTTGATGATGTCTTCAGAAAGCAAGAGTCCCTCCAAGCTGAGGTTCTGCAGCCTTTCACACCGACAAAGAATTCTCTCGAGATCTGCAACAGACACTGTGCAGTTCGACAAATCCATATGTTGAATTCTGAGAGGTCTAGAAAAGGAGAAAGGCAAGTTAATAAAATTGCATTAAAACCTGCTCCACAAATTCCCTATACCATAAATGTACCCAATACACTAAAACAGTGCAAAGCTTGCAGAAAATAATTACACTGTTGTATTCAGCTGCACACTAGACAGACTACTAAACTCAGAAGGCGTACTGCTAAGCTACCAGACAAAACTGCAGAACTCTTATCTTCAAGGCATCTACAGGATTTGTCATTACAGCTGAAAGTCTATCCTGCTGGAGTCAAATTTGAGCTTCCCATATAAAAATGCTGGAGATGCTGACAATTCTTGGTTCTACAAGATATAAATTGCACGTGGATAATGTTGCTTCATACTTTAAAAAAATCACATTAGCTTGGTTTCAGATAAATCACAGGTGAATGCCTTATATCAGCACATGTCTAACCACTGGTCAGCTCTTCCACACTCCAGGGACAGCACAAGTGCTACTCCTGGTGGAGACCTTAAAACCAAAACTACAGAGAAACTGAATATTTGAGACATGATTTCAGGACCCAGAACATGCAGAAAAAGCCTTACTTGCTTGTTTTAAACAACGGATTCCCAATACAAGATCTTGGGCAGCGGAATACAGTAACACCAGCAGGCAGCAACTGTCCAATCACTCCTGGCACCAGCTGTTGACCAGCAAGATCAAGAGTCTGCCAGAGAGATTCATCAAACCTGAGGCACAGAATTTTACTTGTTAGTGAGTTATGAAGGGTCAGATCTACGAGTACAACCACAGAAAGTGTTCAGTGTCACAAGAGACCAAGAAGAGGGAAAGCCATTTAAATGAATTTACTAATATTAAAATACACGAAACATCTTTTGATTATACATACATATAACTCACAGCATAAATTTAATTATATGAGAACCAGATCACTTAAGTCTATGGAAACAAAGGTTTTCTTAGTACTAGATGAGAAATAATACTTACGAAAGACGATGCCATCTCTTGTTAATCAAGGAAACTTTTAACAAGTCACTTAGGGACAAATAGGCAAAGATTGACAAAAGCAATTCATCTGGAAGCATATCCCAAGAAGCACCTTTAAGGAGAGAGCAAAAGTGTTCTAGATAAAGCTGATTCATCTTTGCCTGTTGATCAGATGCCTTGTTTGGCTCAGTTGTTAAAAGCACTTCTACAGTCTCTCTAGGCTACACATATATCGGCCCACTACTCACCCCCTTTCAGCTCTTCAGTGTAGGAAAATATTATTTACCTATATTTGCCTAGGAATGAGAGGAAAATGCAAAGCTTTCCATAACATCAACTTAGTATACATTCTAAAGCAATGGAAAAACAATTTCCATGAAAAAATGACCATAATCTTTATTCACATACTCATTTTGGAAGCAATAGCATCTCAGTTACTTCCTTTGTTATTGTAAGGCTTGTACAGTCCTCT